AAAATATTCTGGGTCATTTGAAATAATTACAGGCAATGCTGTATCTAATAGATCATCGGCTTGTTGTTTAATATCAATAATGGTGTCTTTGACACTTTGAATCCAAGTGTCTGGTTCTTGGTATGACTCGACCAGATCCAAAGTGATCCCTAACTGATCGCTACATATTCTGACGCCTAATAGGCCGTCGATGTCTATGTAGTCTTTGAATGAAGCCATAAATTCAAGACCAAAATAAATTGATGAAATACTTCTGAATATAAGTTTATTTTGTTGAACAAACGAAACTGAACTGGACCATTTATTTCTACTATCAATCAATTTTCCTCCAAACACATTTCCATAGAGTCCAATGGGAATAATAAAAATGAGACAGACAAGTTTAACTTTTTTAAACATGTTTTCACAAGAATTTATTCTCACTTTCTCTATCTCTCTAGTAATAACAAAAGCATACATAGAAAATATATATTATATATTAAATAAACTCTGTCCTTTATAAGTGAAGACATACAAATTTCCTTTCTTTTATCTTTATATAACAATTAATGGAAATACGGTAATATAAACTAAATCCTTAGTATCGGATATAAAACAATTGGATTTATAGTAATCTCATTGATCTATAGAATAGAATAATACATAAAATTATAAGAATTTTATTGACCAAATCTTTAGCTAAAACTTAATTCTTATTCTTTATTAATAAAACTGATACAGTATTTTTAACATGAATTCTAATACAAAATACATAACTGTAATACATTTATATAATGTTAGAAATGAGTATTTAATTAGTAATGTCAAAATAACTTAAAATGTCTTAATACTGAGAGTAAATTATAGTTAAAATTTAAAATTAGTCTAATATTAGGTTAAAATAAATGCTTATATTATTTACAAGTGTTGTAATCAATTGTGACAAAATCTTGTGCCTAAAACAAATAAACTAATTAATATAAAACATAACTATAATAAATAAATTCATACTTGACAGGCGGGAATACGTCCGCCTAACTTAGTACACTTTCCAGGCATCCGTTGGATCTAAAATGAATTTACAAATTACAACATTTTGTAAATAACACTTAATTAATAAAACAATGATTAAAATATTAGTTGAAATAATAAGTTAAATATTAAGAAGTTATCTACAAATGATCATTGAAAAGCATATCGCTATGTGTCTGATCCTTACCACTTGGACTTCGACATAACAGTTGGATTCGATGATGGGAGGGGTAGTGAAGGCAGACAATTGTTGGAGGTCTAAGTGAGGGGAGGCCTGAATCACTTGTCTCAAAGTCTCGATGTTTTCTCGGTTAGCATTTTGTCCGATTCTTCCCAAACGTATTCCCGGAAGATTGCTTAGGATTTGACGAAACGAATTGCCGTTTCTCTGAAATTGATATCCAAAACAATTATAATCGTCGTATTTGTCATAAAAATGTGTTTCCTTGTAATACTTCTGGCACTTCGTTTTCCGAGACATCGGAGTCCTGTTTAATATCAATGGATTCGACATTTCCAGAAACAATACCAAATGTGAATATTAGTGTCGACAAAAAGAATATCAAATATCTTTTCATTATTTGTTTCAGAATTTAAAACCAGATCAAAGTTAGAGAGAAGAGAACTTTGAGACTAAATGAATAAAAAGTCTATTTATATGAATTCAAAATCAATGAATGTTCAATATTTGAGACAGAAGTGCTATACAGTATTTCTTTTAAAGTTTAAACTATTTAATTATTTTGTTTTGAATTTCCAATCAAAGGAAATCGTATAAAAGTTTGAAACGCTTATAATATACATTTGTAGTCATTTACTTATAGTAAAGCAACACATACATTGTCTAGTAATGA